TTTTTTTTTTTCTGTAGTCTTCTCTCAACTTCTGTTTTTGCCTTTCACTACCTACTCCTAAGGTTATCTAGAGGGGACCCCTGCAAGCATAGTTTCCTCTCACTGTGAAGGGGAGATTGCATGGTGCCCCTTGCCCCTTGCCCCTAATGTTTAGGGTATAGGGTTGGGGCCGCCAGTGGGGGTCTGGCTAACACAAAGACCGAGCATTTTGCCAGTAGCTGCGCCTCCCTTTCTCATCGTCCCCCAAACCGCATCGAGTAGCAGCAGTAGCTATGGCCAACACTCTCCCTCTCCACACACCACACACAACCCACTCGCGCTCGCACTCACACCCATGTTGGTCATAGATTCCACTAATACCGATCAGGGGCCAAGTCCCACTAGCAGCGTTGAGCTACCTCAACGCCTGAATCTGGATGAGTTTGCGGAGATGTGCAGAAATGGTGCTGAGTTTCCTGAACTGCACGTCTCCACAAACTCGTCCAGATTCAGGCGTTGAGCTAGCTCAACGCTGCTAGTGGGACTTGGCCCCAGGAATATGCCATTGGCCTTACCGAGGAAGAATGTGGAGTCTAAAAAATCGTTGTGCGGAGCTTGTGCACTCCCCACACCATAGTGGAGCCCAACTCAAAATGCATCTGGAGCTGGAAATGTACCTGTGCCTGGAAGATTTCCAGCCCCAGATGACATTTATTAGAATAGTTTTTTTTTTCTTTTCTTTTTTTTTTTTAAACGAAGTTGCCATTTATGTATTATATAGCAAAGTGAGGCCGGGAATCCCTCAACATCACAACCCGGAACAAACTGAGAGAGGCCTCCTGTGGGCCAGCTGGAAACCGGGTCCGGCGTCCCCTGCAAGCAACTCCAAAAGCTTAAAACTGGAGAAGGATTCCTATCAGACTAAAGGAAGAACATCATTACAAAGGCTAATCTACTCAGTCTCTTTTGATGGTATCTGGGAGCCTTACCCAGTTTAGCTTTATTTATTAGAATGTTGTGTTGTGCAGGGGGGCCCTCAGCCAGGTCAGTATATGAAGGGGGTTTTTCTTCGGGAAAAAAGAAAAACAATATAAAAGAAAAGCAGAACGATGCATCGCCGAGACCCCGACTACCACACCGCGATAGCCTAACGTGGCAGGGATCGGAAGTGAAGCGTCGCGATGAGCTGATATGTAATCTGTCGACTAGCAGTCTTCCCCCGATCACAACGCACCCTGAAAATGAACACAGGCAAGGCATGTTTCCGGCCCGATACAGTCAAAATGAGGGTGCGTTGTGTTCGGGGGAAGACGGTAACCTGTCTTCCCGCGATCACAACGCACCCTGACCATAGCTGTACCGGACCGTAAGAGAGAGAGTTTTTGTGTGTACATTCATTCTGAGGGTGGGTTATGTTCGGGGAAACACGGCAGGCTTTTTTTTTTTTTTTTTTTTTTTTTTTTTTTTTTTTTTTTTTTTTTTTTTATATTTTTTTTTTTTTTTTTTTTTTTTTTTTTTTTCTCTCTTTTTTTGTGTGTGTGTGTGTTTTTTTTTTTTGTGGTCTCGCTCCACCACAGTGACTCTCCAAATGTGCAAAATGAAACTGATTTTGGGGTCTCGCTCCACCACAGTGACTCTCCAAATGTGCAAAATGAAACTGAATCTTTCGCTACAACATGGAAAAAATACACAGCCATGATGTTTTTTGTCTTTTGTGCATGGGGAGAGTAGTGGAGAGGGTTCATGAGTACGGATAAGGATAGACGCTTAGAGACTATTAATAAACAACCCCTCGTCACTTTTTTTTTTTTTTTTTTCTGGGAACTCGT